TCTCCGTCTCATACCTTGCTGCATATGTTTTTTTTTTGGTGGGAGTAAATATCGCATCTGTCATACTGTGTCGACATTGCACTAGGTGTTTAGATAACCTTTACGATAAAATGCACGTAGTTGTACAACGTGTGTCTGTAAAGCCGACTAGAAGGAATGTCTTAGAGAATTGGTAAGTACCCAGGTGTGAATGTTCAGCCTTAAAAGAGGCCCTCAGCTGGCACACCAGTACGTTAGTCCGAAAATCCACAGTCCTCTCCGTCTAAACTCCTAATCAGATAAGTGCATTCTATACGTAGTTCGCCAATCAAATCACTTCAATCGGGATTATCCCCGCGCCGATTGGTTCACCCTGGCCCGATTGTGACTCTTCCAACCATCACCAGTCTCAGTATTAGTACAAATACACTGCTGGAAATACCCGAACATCAACGATGCCATCCGAATGTGGACGAGACGAGTTCGAAATATTTTGGTTTTTTGGAAACTGGAGGAATTCCTCGGGATCTGGTCACGTTAACATTGGGAAAAAACCGGACCCTTGAGTCTGCGAAAAGAGTCAGAGTCATTGAATCTTGTATCCAGACGAGGTTCAAAGCGAGGCAACTTTACGGCATGCATTTCATAGTCATTAGTTAAACTCAGAATGCATGTAAAATACTCACACTCAATCAGACTCAAGGTTTGGTTATTATGGCCACTGGAAAAGTCTTGAACCAGCCTTTGACCATCGAGAACTGTAGTGTAAAAAGTGGACACTTTTGGCTGACTCGCCTTGGGAAAATGCGGGCTGCGCAGTAACAATATGTTTGATTTTCGCTACATTGGTGTTAAAGTTCCTGCAAAGAGTTACTCTGAAAACCCTAATGGCTCACCTCCTGAAAAATAATGCACGACAGCGGCATCTGAAAAACATTCCATTGGTATTCATACAACGATTTTGTGGCCATTGGCAACCCGTCCGGCTCATGCTAAGCAATTACTAAACAATGAAACATTGATTGTAAGTCCCATCTTCGCCCCCTCTCTATTTTTTTTAAAATCATGTTGTGCAATTTTGTATGGGGGGATTACGGTGGTGAGACTTTGGATATGAAATATTTCTTTTCCCGAGACGCCATTTGCTCGTCTGCATTACCACTACCTTCAGCAACAACAACATGAAATAGAAGATTCAAGAATTTAAAAGCATTTTCTTTGCTCAGTCCTTTTACTTTGAAGCCCATCAGCCAAACTCTGTGTCAAATAAAGCTTGTTTTTCATACTATGCTTCATAAATATTTTGCACACAATTAACACCCAAAAAGCTCAAGATTAATTCATAGCTGATGTTAGTTCAAGCTCACAATGTTTAAAAAAGTTAATTCCTGGTAACAGTCTTGACTAAAAATACCTTTATTCAAAACAATCGTTCGTATATGCTTGACATATAAGGTATATTCATATCTGGACACCTACTTGCTACTTGCAATGGATAATAGAGAGGACGAAGGCGCTGGTAGAATTGTGCTCAGATATTTTAAGACATAGAAGAGTGTTACACAGGTAAAATATTTTTTATTGATATTCCGTATTTCACGTTGTCTTCTCTATTTCACGAATCATATAATATATGTCAATTTCCCATCACCTATAGCTATATAATGTCTTGGTACGACTTTTTAAATAAACATTTTGTTTGAAACATGCAGGAAATTGAAAACAACCGATTGATCCGGAGTCGCTACGCAAGGCGCCATCACGCACGTTAAGTTCTGTAAATATAAAGAGCAAAAAGTATGGATACTCCGATTTAGAAAATTTTACAACGTTAAAATTATTACATTATACCTAAACCGTCCCCTTGGAAACATTACCGGAAATAATGACCAGAGATCAATAGATAGGGAGGTCTTTGATATTATAATAAAGATCACTGATTATTCTCCTTGAGAGTGCATTAAATGTTCTTATAAAATTTTAATCAAGAAAATGGAGACGGTGGATTTAAACTGAGAGTACACGAAATGAACATCGTTTTTGGCCAAATCAACGAGAAATCGGTATATTAATATTGCTTTGCTTAGTTTGTCAAACGTTGGTCTGCCTGTGTACTCAGAACCATTTACAGAATTGTGGATAGAGTGTTTTCCCCCAAAATTGCCTCACATTGCCAATTTGCTGTTTCCAACTCAAGGAAGCATGCTTCCAATCACGGCTTCATTTGCTCGTTCCCTAGAATATCTTAGTCATGGTGTTCTACGTTTGGAAGGCGGAAGGACTTTCTGAAGTAACTCACATCACTAATATCCATCCTCATACTCAGCAGGAACACAGCGACCAAGGATATTACAAGTGTCAGGGGGAAAACATCCGACGCCGGTGGCTGGAATACACTCCAGATCAGGAAGGGCTAAAAAAAGAAGCCATTTCAACGGTTAGTCATTTAGCCAGCATCAACTAAACAGACAGAGTGGACAATGATAGGATTGAAAACGTCGACTTTTGGAAGCTGTAGCACGCCCGTGGTCTGAGACCACATTATTCAAAGGACATCAAGTCGAAACATGAGGTTCGCCCAAGGGTCATATCTGAAGTCACAATTACAAAGCTGTATAATCATTTTACCCATCATAAAAAATAGGCCTTTTTCTCGATGGAGAATATAGTAATTCGTCATGTTCTTTTATTCGAATATGCCGATAAAATCTCCATACTTACTGATATCTATATTGGGGCCGCCACCGGTACCTGGAGGTGGGTTAAAAAAGCGTTCACGAAATGAAACATTCGGTTATATGAATCTCATTGTTAATGCCCTTTTAAATATTCATTCGCTTCAGTGAAAACGAAAGTGTTCAACGTTGCAAAAATTTACTGCTCTTCAATAAATTGGCTCTAGATTCAGTCAAGTTGACTTGACTTGAGTTCCTATCAACAAAGGTTCCGTCAAACTTTCAGAAACGCACATTATTACTTGCAATTCATATCCTTAATTGTAAAATACTAAAAATATTTTGATCTGTTTGTATTTTCGCTCTAACCAAAACACTAAAATGAAATAATTTGTAACTCTTCATCCGCCTAAAAGACATCAATTGCACATGTATTTATACATGTATCATGGATATTCTTAGGCATTTCTTAAGTTTCTATCAACTAATATGCTAGCAATTTTTTTTTTACAAAGGCCAGAATCTTGAGTGATCGTTTTAGAAGTCAGGCAATTCTTAAGTTTCTCTCAACTTTTATGCTAGCAATTACTTAATAAAGACCAATATCTTGCTCGATCTTTTTTATTTTAAAGAAACGAAATAATATTCGAACGAAAGTGTTTGGTTAAATGTTTAACTTCCAGAGTCACTGAACAACTTTATCAAGATGATGGTGAGTTTTTCATGAAGCATGTATTGACATTCTATCAAAAAAGCTGGAAAACAAAAGATCACACAGCAAGACTCCTAACCCTCGCATGGCCTGTCCACGGGGATTTTACACAAGCTGTCCTACCACGTTGAATAATTTTTGCCAAAATCATTTCTAGCTCAAATTACCCTCAAAATGAATCGTGTCAAAATTCTACCAGTGTGATACTTACCAGGTTTGCCACCGCTACCTGGAGGCGGAAAAAAAAACCGCATTTCATTAACAAACTTCAACATTCGGCAATATAGGTCTTTATATTGCTATACACTTTTTCCACTTGATTTGCAATAAAAAATGAGATTGTACATTGTTGCTAAGATTTACGTCTCTCTACCTGATGGGTTCAAGATTCACTCGATTTGACCTGAAGCAGTTCGTATCAGCAAAGGTTAGATCAAACTTTGGAATATTTCGTAAATGAAAAGTATTCGTTGCAGTTCATTTCCTTTGTAAATTGTAAAATCTGTTTTTATGTTACTTCTAACCGAGAGACTAAAAAAATAAATAGCTTGAAACTTTTCATCTGCTGACAAGACCAGCTCATTGCCCAAATCTTCATGTATTTTAGATTGTCCGAATTGAGAGTTCAGGTTTTGGTAGGATATTTCTCCTTCAGTTCAGGCAATTCTTAAATTTTTATCAACTAATATGCTAGAAATTTTTGTATAAAACCATTATCGTTGGGGACATTTATTATTTCAAGGAAACCAAATCATTTTTGATCTTTAGTTTTTGGTTTAACGTTTAACGTACAGAGTCAGTGAACAACTTCATTAAGTTGATGGTAAGTTTATTTCTTTAAGCAAGTATTGACATTCCAACCATCAAGCCGGAAAATAAAAGATCACGCAGCAAGATTCCTGACCCCTCACAGGGCCTGCCCATGGGATTTTACACGACGCTGTCCTACCATGTTGCATTTTTCCCGAAATATCCCCAGCTGAAATCATCCCAAAAAGCAATCGTGTCAAAATTCTACCAGAATGATACTTACCGGGTTTGCCACTGCCACCTGCAGGCAGAGAAGAAAAACGCAGTTCATTAACAAACTTCAACATTCGGCAATATAGGTCTTTATATTGCTCTATACTTTTTTCGCTGGATTTGGAGTTTAAAACGAGATGTTATATAGTTGCAAAGATTTACCTCTCTCTAACTGATGGGTTCAAGATTCACTCGATTTGACCTGAAGCAGTTCTTATCAGCAAAGGTTAGATCAGACTTCGGAATATTTCTTAATGAAGAGTATACATTGCAGTTCCTTTGCAAATTGTAAAATGCTCTAAATATTTCGTTGTGTTTTTATATTACTTCTAACCGAAAGACTAAAAGAAAAAAAAAATTGAAACTTTTCATTTGCAGACAAGACCAGCAAATTGCACAATTGTTTATGTATTTTAAATTATCCAAAGTGGGAGTTCAGGTTTTGGTAGAATATTCCTCCTTAAGGTCAGGCAATTCTGAAGTTTCTATCAACTAATGTGCCAGCAATCATTTTACAAAGGCCCTTATCTTGGGTGTTTTTTTTTTCAAGGAAACCAAATCATTTTCGATCTTTAGTTTTTGGTTTAACGTTTAACGCACAGAGTCACTGAACAACTTTATTAAGTTGATGGTAGGTTTGTTTCTTTAAGCAAGTATTGACATTCCAACCATCAAGCCGGAAAACAAAAGATCACGCAGCAAGATTCCTGACCCCTCACATGGCCTGCCTATGGGGTTTTACACGACGCTGTCCTACCATGTTGCATTTTCCCCCGAAATATCCCCAGCTGATATCATCCCAAAAAGCAATCGTGTCAAAATTCTACCAGAATGATACTTACCGGGCTTGCCACTGCCACCTGCAGCCGGAGAAAAAACGCATTTCATTGACAAACTTCAACATTCGGCAATATAGGTCTTATTGTTATGCACTTTTCCCACTTGATTTGCATTTAAAAATGAGATGTACATAGTTGCAAAGATTTACCTCTCTCTAACTGATGGGTTCAAGATTCACTCGATTTGACCTGAAGCAGTTCTTATCCGCAAAGGTTAGATCAAACTTTGGAATATTTCTTAAATGAAGAGTATACATTGCAATTCATTTCCTTTGTAAATTGTACAATGCATAAAATATTTTGTTCTGTTTTTATGTAACTTCTGAAAGAAAGACTAAGAAGAAAATAGTTTGAAACTTTTCATCTGCTGACAAGGCCAGCTAATTGCTCAAATCTTCATGTATTTTAGATTTTCCAAAGTTAGATTTCAGGTTTTGGCAGGATATTTCTCCTTCAGGTCAGGCAAGTTTCTATCAACTAGTATGCTAGCAATAATTTTACAAAGGCCATTATCTTCGGGGGTTATTTTATAGGTGATTTTTTTTCAAGGAAACAAAATGATCTTTGAACTTTAATTTTTGGTTTCAGCTTTTACTTTGCAGCGTCACTGAACAACTTTATTAAGTTGATGGTAGGTTTGTTTTTTTAAGCAAGTATTGACATTCCAACCATCAAGCCGGAAAACAAAAGATCACGCAGCAAGATTCCTGACCCTTAGCATGGTCCGCCAATGGGGGTTTTACATGACGCTGTCCTATCACGTTCGATAATTTTTACCAGAATTATTCCTAGCTGAAATCACCCCCCAAAAGGGATCTTGTCAGAATTCTACAAGTGATACATACCGGATGTGCGTCGGCGACCTGGAGATGGGTAAAAAAAACGCATTTCATTAACGACCTTCAATTTTCGGCAATGCAAGTTACATTGTTCGTGCAGTTTTCGCCCTTCATTTGTTTCAATAGAATCGAGATTGTTCAGCGTTGCAAGGATTTACTTCTCTGCAGTCGATGGGTTGCATAATCAGACAACTTGACCTGACGCAGTTCTTATCAGCAAACGTCAGATAAAAAACTTTAGAATCCTTTGTAAAATAATTCAGTTTATTCCTTCAAGTTAATTTCGTTGTATACCGTACAATGCATAAAATAGCTTGATATGTTTACATTTCAGAGTTAACCAAATGTTTACCCCCAAAAATGTGTAACTTTTCATCTACCTATACGAGAACAAAATATTCAAGATTGACACTTTAGATGTATTTCAAATTTTTGGAACTGAGAGGGCGGTTTTGGGCAGTATATTTCTCTTTCTGGTATTGCAAAAGCTATTTCCACAAATACGCTAGCAAATGTTTTACAAACGCCAATTTTTTTCAGGTGGCTTTTTTCTTAGATTAGTAGAAATCACGTGCAAAGAACATTTTTTGGCACATGTTTCCCACCCAAAGTTTCTGGAACCGGGTCACATTCAGGCAAATAAAAACAGTGTTTGTTGCCATTGAATTAAAATCGTCTAGTGGGGTTTGTAAGGCCCCATGATGCGACATGGGGCCTTACACCCAGATACTGTGGAGTATCTGCACAGCACAGGGAAATTCCTCGGCTCAGTAAACCACTCGCAGAAAACAAGTGTTTGGTGCGCTTGGAGAACAGTAATGAACAGCGCACACATTACTTCTTGCATTCGAGGGTGATTTTCAAACTGCACCTGCGTGCTGCGCATTTTTCACAATCAACAAATGTGATGTGAATCAGTGTATTGACGACTGTTGGTGTAGCAACATTGGCAAGACCAAAAGAGACGATAATTTCACAAGCAAAAACGCCGGGGAAGGGAATTGCCGAAACGGTGGATTGATCACAAACTTAGGTGAATAAAGCTGCATGGGAAATGTGGGGCTCAGAAAGCTATTTTACGAATTGCCCGGGTATTGGGGGAAGGAGGATGGGCGTAGGGCTAAGGAAAGGACACAGAGGGAGTCCAGTAAACTAGTCTGGGACTAAAGCCTGGTTTCCATATGATTATAACGAACGCATATGGCGTGGAAGACGACAATTTGCAGATGTCCCGTTTGAGACGTTGCGTGACAACATCCCATCACAAAAGCTAAACAAAAATGGTGATTGAAACCCAGGAAATTTCCACTTACAATGCTTAGTCACGTAGCTATACTACCCCTTGAAGGCAAATTGATACTCAAGTTCGAGACATTTTCTTTATGGTCAGCAAGTTAGTTATGGATTGACCTTACTAGGACGGATATATTAGCGAAATGAGCCCTACTATGCAAGAAATGCATCAAGCCAGTGTGCCTGTATAGGCCTTTTCTTGTAACTTGACACAGACAATTCAACTCTGCCGACAATCGCTGTCTCTATTTGCGTGAGTTGCGATAAAGTGTTTCCAACTGATTTCGTTTGATGGGAAGTCATCGGCGATGCTTTCTGCGGCGTCTCTGTACGTCGATATGGCAACCAGGATTAACAATGTGAGTTTCTTTACGACGGCTTGTCAGAAAGCTGGCATCTAGTCGCCATTGACTGCACAAAGGGCTTTTGACATGTCCGTTTTGGTTTTCTTCAGTGTTATTTTCTTTGTTTTTGTTTTTTGTTTGTTTGGGTGTTTTTTTTTTGGCTTGTCAGAAGCATTGTCTCTGGGCAGACTACAGTGTTTGGTTGAAGACTTGAAGTCATGGCAAAAACGGAAGATAATCACTGCAACATTCTAACTTTCTTAATCAATATGCATAAATCTATTAATCCATATGTGACAGTTTAAAATATAAGTTAAACCGTGCCCTGATATTTTTTGTGCAATTGTCTTAAATCCACCCACTTTTTTTTGGGGGGGTCGACCTTCTTTGAAAGAAAAAGGTAATGCTCATTAAAAAAAACGAAAAACAGCGTTTATGAAATTACGCATAAGTGAACGTTCCATGGTCCAGATTCTAGGGTCCCTTGTCGACGCAGAAGGCATCATAAAATGGGTATTGCCAAATGTTAATACGGGCATTTAACAATTGTGCGCCTCCAAGAGTCTGCAACGCGTTGGCCAATCACATTGCGCGAAATGTGTCAACCCAATGCGCGTTTAGAAATGCTCGACAAATTTCGCGCGTTGCGATTGGCCAACGCGTTGCAAACTCTTTGAGGCGCCCAATTGTGAAATGCCTGTATTAGCTGCCACGTAGCACATTGTCAACATACAGGTACAGTGAAACTGTACTGGGTGTTTATAATTGTCAGGTATGTCTAGTGAGCAGTGGCGTAACTAGGGGGGGGGTGTGCTACCCCAGCCCAGCGAATGCCTGTGCCCCCTGGATGCCCCCATTTGAAATCCATGAACAACCTTTGCTGCGTGTCGTTGTATTTGGTGCCCCCTTGAAACAAAATGTGTTCACCCCTTGTTACCCTGGACATAACAGCCCTAGTTACGCCAGTGCTAGTGAGGGCAATAAAACACTTTTTTTTAGCCAGACAACTGCAACTATTTTGAAGACTGGGTTAAAATAATCTGAATAAGCAGATTTATGACACTTTTAGAGCACAAAAAAAACGTATTTTTCAGTGCCTCCCCTAGATAGACCGAAATATTTGCCCCCATTTCTTGTTCTCCCTCGAAATACCGTAAAACCAGCAACTCTTCATAAAATTGAGTGGAAAGACAACTTACGACTTCTGCTTCCGCTTCTCCTGCTGCTCCTTCTAAATAATCTTCTTCCGCGGACGTTGTCTGTATAAAAATGAACCTTGATTACCGATAAATATTGACTGAAGTACGTCTTCTACAATGAGAACGCACACTGTGGCACTTGACCTTTGAAACAACCCTGAAAGGATTTTCGCAAAGCTCTGAGACTCTTCGCCTGGCCAGTCTACTTTCAGGGAAGCATCGGGTTCCCTTGCTTCCAAAAACCGTTTCACGCTTTGTTTGGGTTCAGGGGCCCCTTGTTTACGCAGATGACATTATCAAACTGCAGTTGGCATTATCGGCACTGATATCAATAAGCCGTTATGTGACGCATTAACTAATATGAATGTGAAAATTTCCCAGGTATTTATGTATACCAGCATTTCGAGATTCCTTTCAGTCTGTCTGGCGAAAGGAACGATGCATGTTTTTTATTTGTAACTATTTTGAAGGTCAGTTCCGGAAGATCTATAATGAGGACACTTTTGGAATGTCACTGCCAACTTTGCGTTGAGAAAAATTACTCAAGCGAGATATGATCGTATAAAGAAACGAAAACTCTGCTGAGTATTTCCTATGAGAAACAATGCATCCGATCAGTCATTACGAGAAGTCCAAAACCAAATCTCAGGGGGCCAAACTTCTTTTGGGGAAGAAGACAAAATTGTTAACATTTGCCCGCTACCTTTTCTGGCGTTTCTTGGGGGTTTCGGACTACATTGCGGAATTTATTACGAAATTTCTTGTCAGAAAGCAAAACGAGTCTAACACGGAAGCTTTGTCCTCATTGAGCTACATTTTACAGAGCGCTTGGAAGGCTCATTTTCTGCAGGGGTACCTATCATTAGGTTTAATCACAGTTAAAACACTGACCAAGACAGAGTACCTCCAAATAGGTTTTACATTTTCTCATTAGTAAGCCCGAGACAGAGGTAAAGGCCTCAAGAGGGGCACCCTAGGCCTCCCCGTAGGTACACCACGTCTCGGATTGATCAATTTGCCTTTTTTTCTGTTGCCTCCCCCATTTATTCGTACTCAATGGGTGTCTTTTTGGGTAACTTTATCGCAAAAATAAAAACTGTTTAAAAAACAGAAAGCGAACATATGAACTTACCTAATTGACGGGTTTCTTCGCCGCCTAACTGACCTTCCATTCCAATTTCATCTGTGTAGCAATGAACCATTAACTGTCATATATCCACCGGTTATGGAACATGTTTCTACCCAAAGGAACACTCTAGGACTCCATTTTGGAAACAATTGCAAACGAAGTTTGTTATGTATTTTTCATGAGACTGAAGTTTCATGAAAAATGCAACCATTGTCATGATGTACATAGAGCGATTTCACTTTAGCGCCGTCTGCACATATCTACATCAAAAACGAAGTTCTCTGTGTTGAGCTTACTCGAGCGCGCCCGCGGAGTCCACACAGTACATGGAGTATCCGGTTCGTAAGTGTGATGCCACTTCAATTTAAACCACGCCCACTGCACAAGATACACGACCATCGCAGGTACGTTTCGCGGTCAATATTGTCGTCATTTTTTTCTTTTGATTTTACGTGTCGAGTCATCCTGAAAGACTGTTCCACAAAAATTTCAGCCTGAAAAGTCTGATTTTAACATGCCTTTATGTATTTCTGATCGTATTAATTGAAGGTGACACATACAGCCTCGTTTTCAAACGCGGAAGTGCGCAGATCGACGCTAAAAGCGTCATATTGGGATCCCTCTATTGTCACCGAGTGTCCGGCTTTGATTTAAAAAGTACCGTAGCGATTTTAAAGCCGATGGGGGCATTTATGTGCATGCTAAGTTTTAAACAAATCAAGCCAAGGACAGACCACGCGTCATTCATTACACGTGCACAATATAATATATAACTAGTAGTTAAAAGAGACCAGCATTTCCAAATTGTTTGGTCTGTCTAACGAGGGCAACAAAAATTTTCAGCCAAACAATGGAACATGTCTGAAGATCAGTTTGGAGAATGTGCATTGAGTGGGCTTAAGACACTTTTGATACACAGCTGTCAACTCTACGGTGAAAAACTGCTGGAGCATGATATGAATGCAGAAATAATGAAAACCGTGCTGATTATTATCTGAGAGAAAAAATGCAAATCCGATCAGTCACCATGATGGATATAACACTAAATTTCAGAGGCAAAACTTGTTTGGGGGAAGAAGACAAAACTGTTAACATTTTTCCCGCTACCTTTTTCTGGCTTTTCTGGGAGGTATCGGGCTACATTGCGGAATTTATTAAGGCTTCTTATCGGAAAGCAAAAGGAGTCCAACACGGAAGCTTAGGCCTCATTGAGCTACATTTCGCAGAGCGCTTGGAAGTCTCATTTTCTGCAGGGGTACTTATCATTAGGTTTAGTCACAGTGACAACACTAACCAATACAGACTTTCTCCAAATTATTTGTACCTTTTTCAAATTTGTGAGACCGAGGCAGAGGTTAAAGCCTTAAGAGGCTCCGTTCCCCAGGCCTCAATTTGCCTTCTTTCTGTTCCCCCCCCCCATTTTCTCGTGAACAGTGGGTGCCTTTTGGGTTCACTTTATCGCAAAACCACCGACTGCTTACAAAATAGAAAGCAAACAGATGAACTTACCTAATTGACGGATTTCGTTGTCACCCAACTGACCTTCCATTCCGATTTCACCTGTGTAGCAATGAACCAGACTTACTGTCCTGCATGCACTTATTACGGAACATGTTTCTACCTAAAGGAACACTCTAAAACTCCATTTTTGAAACAACAGCAAACGAAGTTTGTTGTGTCTTTTCCTAATGTATATTTCATGAGACTTCACCCCTGCAACCATTGTAATGATATATATTGTAGCCGAGTGTCCTGTTTTTCAAGAACCGAGCTCTTGGGTGCTTTTTCTTTAGTAATTAAGATCTTACGGTGATTGTGACACTCTTTTCAAAAGTACAGATCCATCAACGCCCATTTTCCGCTACAGGTTACCCCCAAACTCTGTATTTTTGTGTCCGCTGCCGGATTGATGTACGGCGCCGAACACGCCCCTAGCCTTGAACTCCAAACGGCTAGGCATACAACAATAAATCGATTGCAAGATTGAGTTTAAAGGTAACATCTTTACCGATAATGAGTGCTTAGCAAGTCTTGAAACCATCAAGCTTAGTACTCTCTAAATTGCAAAGAGTTAAAATGCACTCTCTCCGAGTGAAAATTCAATCCCTCCGATTGAAATTAAGGAACAGACGAATTGGAGTAAAATTTCTTCACTCCAGAAGATTGAAATTTCACTCGAGCTTCCACTGATAGGGGCTTTTTCAGCCTTTTTCAGTCTAAATTCAGAGTGATTTTTCACTCTAAAACGTCTTGTCCCTAATTTTAATCTTTCCGATTTAGAAAGTACAGCCGCATGGTTTGTTGGGGAGGATTCCACAATGGACCTGGCTGTAAGATGGTTGAGCACATTCTGAACCCGTTTTGCCAGGCTAGTATACGGTGCTGTCCTTTTCACAAACAAGTGTCCCAGCCCCGTTCGCCAAATCTTTCTTTGCCACAGAATAGTTTCACTCAACACCTGACAGAAACAATCAAGTGAAAGCACCCAAACAGGATTTTCTGTGTCGTGCAAAGT